CGCCAAGATCTTGCTCAACGAGCTGCAAAAAATAAACCCTCTTCTGATTATTTATTTCCAAGTTTGGTCACAACAAAACAAAAAGGAGAGGTTCTGGACCCTGTTACTGAATCAAAACGATTACAAACAGAAGAAAAATAATGTCCTTATTTCACCAAACCTTTCATATCAGTGAAGCTTTAGAAAAAAAACAAAGCCGTTTACAAGAAAAGGCTGGGTACGGGCTAAAAGATTTTTTTGAAAGCCAGCACCCTCTTTTAACGCTTCCAAAAAAAACAGAAGATCTTAAAGATCTTGAAAATTTAGTCTCACATTGGCGACAAAACTTTGATCATCTTTTGGTACTCGGCACTGGAGGGTCTAACCTTGGTGCAAAAGCTTTGTGCCGTTTAAAAAATGTAGGCTACAATTGCCCAGAGCAAAAACCTCATCTTCATTTTGTTGATAATGTTGACCCTTTAACGTTTCACCCCCTTTTAAAGGCTCTCCCCTGGGATAAAACAGCTGTTTTAATTGTTTCAAAATCAGGATCAACCGCCGAAACGTTGTGTCAAGCTCACTATGTTTTACAAAAATTGCCTCAAAATATACTGAAAGATCATGTTTGGGTGATCACATCTCCCCAAAGCTCTCCCCTTAAACGTCTAGCTGAATCAAACAACATCACCTGCCTTGATCATGACCCTAGCCTCGGGGGGCGATTCTCTGTTTTTTCTTTAGTCGGCTTGCTGCCTGCTCTTCTTCAAGGCATTGATGTTCGCCAAGTACGTCTTGGGGCCCTTCAAGTTTTGGAACACGCTAAACAAGACCTTAGCACTTCACCTGCTGCGAAAGGGGCTGCTTTTATTGCTACCACCAATCTTGAAAATCAATACTCTCTTTCTGTGATAATGCCTTATCTTGATCAACTTGATCAATTTTCCAAATGGTATCGCCAACTCTGGGGAGAAAGTGTTGGAAAAGATGGAAAAGGCACGACACCCATTGACGCCTTAGGGACAATCGATCAACACAGCCAAATTCAACTTTATCTAGATGGGCCACAAGATAAGACTTTTTCTGTCATCACGTTAAAATCGAACCCAATCCAAGAACCCCTTTTAAAAGTTTCGGATCCTGAGCTGTCCTACCTTAACAACCAAACAATGTTTGATCTGTTACAGGCCGAAGGACAGGCAACCCTTGAAACGTTTATTGCTCACAATCAACCAACGCGCCATATTGAAATTGATACTTTGAACGAGAAAACACTTGGCGCATTAATGATGTCCTTTATGCTAGAAACAATCGCTACTGCAGCTCTTCTTAATGTAGATCCATTTGATCAACCGGCTGTAGAAGAAGGCAAAAAGCGTACAAAAACGTTTCTTTTAGAAAAAGGAATTCAGGAGACAGGATAATGACTGTTCGACTTCTTCCCTCTCATCTTGTGAACCAAATTGCTGCCGGAGAAGTCATTGAACGCCCCGCTTCTGTTGTTAAGGAGCTGGTTGAAAATGCCCTAGATGCCAACGCAAAAAATATTGAGGTCCGCATTGAAGATGGGGGCCAAAGCCTTATTTCTGTGATGGATGATGGTGTTGGCATGAATGGCCAAGACTTAGAACTTTGTGTGGAACGCCATGCGACCTCTAAATTATCCGACGAAAATCTCTTTAAAATCAGTACGATGGGATTTCGAGGAGAAGCTCTCCCTTCAATTGGCTCTATTGCGAAGCTTTCTATTACAAGCCGCCACAAAGATGAAGACAATGCATGGTGCTTAAAAGTCGAAGGCGGACAAAAATTCCCTCTTTCCCCAACCACCCATACAACAGGCACTAAAATTGAAGTCCGAGAATTATTTTTCGCAACGCCTGCCCGCTTAAAATTTTTAAAAACACCTTCTACAGAGCTGCAACACATCACTGATGGACTGCAACGTCTCTCTATGGCACACCCAGAAATCTCCTTTTCTTTAAAAGAAAAAAACAGAACTGTCTTTGATTATCCAAAAGGGTCTTTACTGGATCGTCTTCATGCCGTCATGGGAAAAGAGTTTGCCGAAAATGCCCTTCCTTTGAACGCAAGTCGAGACGGATATCATTTAGAAGGCTATGCCAGCTTACCGACCTTAAATAGAGCCAATGCACGGCTTCAGTATCTATTCGTGAATGCTCGCCCTGTTAAAGACAAAATCCTTTCTGGTGCTGTGAGAACAGCGTATCAAGACCTTTTGCCCCGAGACCGCCATCCCTTATTAGCGCTTTTTCTCACTCTTCCCCAAGACGCTGTTGATGTAAATGTTCATCCTACGAAAACAGAGGTACGCTTTAAAGATACGGGCCTTGTGCGTGGGCTTCTTGTTTCAGGCTTGCGTCATGCACTCTCTGGCGCTGGACATCGCGCCTCTAATACTATTTCTGCCTCAACATTAGGAATCTCACAACCTTCACCGCTCCCCAACATGCCTAGAGCGCACAGTGGAACCTCTTCAAGACTTTATCGCCCATCAACTTCCACAGCTCCACAAGTTTCAGAAGGTCGAGGAACTGCATACCAAGCATCTTTATCTCCAACACAACAAGACTCTTTTACCGATCTTAACGCAGTACGCCCTCTTCCTGACGTTTCTCAAACCTCTCCTTCTGAGGATTCCCATCCGCCAGAGGCCCCTTCTAAAGAAGAAGAACCCCTTAACCACTACCCTCTGGGGCTTGCACGCGCTCAAATTCATACAACATTCATTGTTGCAGAAACATCTGATTCCCTTGTCATTATCGACCAACATGCGGCTCATGAACGTCTTGTCTATGAACATATGAAAGCTCAGATGGAGGAAAAAGGAATTCAACGGCAAATCCTTTTAATCCCTGAAGTTGTTGAACTAAAAGAAGAAGAACAAGAGATCTTAATACGTCATACTTCTGATCTTGAAAAATTAGGATTAGCTGTTGAAAAATTTGGAGAAAAGGCCGTGTTGGTGCGTGAAATTCCTGCCTTATTAAAAAATCCAAATATTTCAAAGCTTGTTCAAGATCTTGTAGACGAATTTCAAGAGTTGGGGGATCTGTTCAGTTTGAAAGAACATATTAATGAGCTTTTAGGCACATTTGCATGCCACGGAAGCATTCGGGCAGGACGTCGTTTAAACTTGACAGAAATGGATGCTATTTTAAGGCAAATGGAAGAAACACCTTATTCTGGCCAATGTAATCACGGGCGTCCAACTTATATACAGCTTTCAAAAGCTGAAATCGAAAAACTTTTTGAAAGGCGTTAACTAATTTTTTGAATGAATACCAAGATATTGCAAAAAAATAACGACTGTATCCCCATATGTTTTTTGGGATATTTCTTCACAAAAATCTGGCCACAAGCGTTCGTCTCGACACCCTTGTTCACAAACAATCCACGCACCAGAAACAAGAGCTTTTAGTTCATGAAGGTGATGGAGCGCCTTTAAAACAAGTTTCTTTCCATAAGGAGGATCTAAAAAAACAAGTTCTGCGCGCTCAAAAGGCCAAGTTTTTTGTAAAAAAATATCTTTGGAAACCAAAGTAACACGACCTAGTGCTTTAATGTGGGATGCATTTTCTTTTAAAATTTTAAAGACTTGGGGAGATTTTTCAAAAAAAATGCCTTGTTTTGTTCCGCGGGATAAGGCCTCAAATCCTAAAGCACCACTTCCAGAAAAAGCATCCAGAACAACTTTCGGTTTTTTATCTTCCATCTGAGAATTTAAAATATTAAAAATCGCTTCTCGCACACGTTGACTTGTTGGACGTGTTTGATCCGTATCTGGGCACTGTAAAAAGCGCCCTCGGAAATCACCCGCTATAATTCTGATGCCGTTACTCATATGAAAAAGCTAATGATATTGTCGCAAAAAAGAAACAATTTTATCTAACTTTAAAGATTAATCAACAAATCAACCGTAAAATGGGAGGTAGAGAGAGTCTATTCAGGAGGTTAGGACAT